ACCGATGAGAGGTTCTCTCCTCCAGGCCTCAAAGAGGGCCTATTGTTTCCTCTCACTCTACTGCACCACGCGGCAAATCTATCAGCCCCGAAATCTTCCCAGCATCCAGGACTCTTCCCTAACCATCTCCTGGAGCCTGGCTTCATCCAAGATTGGACCTAAATGTTAAACATCAAAGATCCAGCCTCTGGAAAAATGGGGCCTCGGTCTGGAGTCTCATCACCTAATGATGAAGGAGGCGAACGTGTTGTTGAGGGTTATCTGCTCATATGCTCTCCTGGGTCTTTACTGCTCAATGGTGGTCATCTCCACATTGAGGGGCTGCTGAGAGCTCGGTCACAGTCACTTCCTGATTCCCCCCCAGGGAGCTACCAGGACCAAGCCACCCCATGCTAAAGCCACATCAGGGCCTCCAAAGCCATGGGCTCTCCAAAGCCACCAGCCCCTCCAGCCACCAGCCCACCAGCCACCAGCCCTCCAAAGCCACCAGTCCCCTCCAAAGCCACCAGCCGCCCTCCAAGCCACCTCCCATTCTCTCTCCGTATTACCACCAAAGCCACAAAGCCACTCCATACCCTACCAGCCTACTCCATAGCTCTACGTCCCCTCAGTACTCAGCCCCGAGAGCCACCGCCACTGCTGATGAGATGCTCTGTTGCCACCCAGGCTCAGAGTGCTGCGAATTGCCAAAGTCCTCCGCCTCACCCTCGAACTCTCAAGAGGCTCCTCCTCCGCTGGCTTCCCCAGCCGGGCCACAGCTCATCCTACTGTTCCTGAGACCACGGCAATCCAATCTGAGAAGCCCCGGTCGCCACCGCCAGATGTCTTGCTGACGGCTGTTGCTCATGCAGGGAGGAGCTTTGAAGGAAAAGTACCAGAGTTAGCTATGACATAGAGTCAGAGGAAGAGGAAGGCAACTGAAGGCCTGTGCAAAATAAATCCTTTATATCAAAGCACATCAAGGAGTGTTGGGCTCAAATGAGGAGGAGAGATAATTAATCCCAATAGTCACAGGGCTCTTGCCCTCAAGGCACAAGTGTCCTGAGGCCACTAAGTAAACCTTGTAAAATATACGAAAGTAGTAGGAAATGGTAAGGTAGCAGGCTGTGACCATGCGGTTGGCTCCTTCGTCACTGCCCCATGCTCTATGGGCCATCAACCCTCCTTCCTGTCCTTTTTAAAGCTGAATGCCAATGAGTGCCCCCTCTTGCTTCTTTAAGGGCAAGCCAGTGCTGTGGTATAGTCAGCAAAGAAATGCCGAGCGAAAGGGGTGGAGAGGACGTTCTTGGTAGGCAGGATGAAGCACAAGCATCGGTGGTGAAGTCTCAACGGAAGGTGGTATTCAAAGTTTCCACGACAGACAATGGTCATGAGGTCTGCAGGCCCAAACTGGTGGTTTGCGCGTGGTGATAAGATGGACGGTCTCATGCTTCTTTCTTTTGGAAATAAAAAGCCTAGATCCCTGAAACCTGTCCTCTGCCTCCCTGCCTCCTGCCTGCCTGCCACCCCAGGCTCGGTAGTTCAGAGAGACAGAGGTTGGTGGGATCTGACTGTTTTGAAAAGGGCATTGAACACCATGCGCGCTTTGATGAGTCGCTAGCAACATTCAGTATGAGAAGTGTTTATTGGTTTGCCTCTTGTTTTGAAATCCTCAGAGGAACACACCATTCCACCTTTAGTGTGTCTAAAGCTCCTTTCTTCCCCTAGCAGCTGGTTGGGCATTTCTTCTGGTTTCGCACACCCAGAGGACTAGCTTATCTAAACTCCAGTTCCACCCCAATTCAACAAATAGGGTACCGATGGCCTACTCCTGTGTCCGGCACGGTGTAAGGTACAGAGACTATTGGTGAGTAGAAGAAAATGGTATTCCCCAGATCTGACCGCCTCAAGGCTGTGAGGGCTGCCTAGAAGTCTGTGGCCTACAGCATCCACTACCCCCTCGCCTCGGAGACAGACCTCAGGCCCGCATGCATAATGCGTCTGACTCCATCTTCCGAGAACCTGCCAGCCTGGTGTTTTCAGAGGCTTAGGTCTTGGCTGCTTTGTCCAAGAGGAAGCCTTCCTACAAATTAGGCCGCCTATCTTCTCCAGGACAGGCTCCTTCTTCGCTCAGTCCTGCTGCACGCTATGGGCCCTGCGGGGTGTAACCTATGTCTTACAGCAGCGCTCTCAGATCAGGAAAAAAGAGGAAGACAGGGATGTTTCAACGTGGGGGCTGGAATGGCCCGAGGCAAGAGGTGAAATGAAATTTTCTTCGGTGACCGTTCTCCTATTTTGTCTCTTTCGCCCATTTGTTGCCACAGGTATGCGGTCATCTCTGGCCCTTCCCTCTAGATCAAGCCGCAGTTCCACGAAGTTTATAGTCCTGGTTACCTTGATCCTTCGCTCTTGGGAGCACAGTGCTTTGCCAATAACAGGTGCTGATAAAAAATTGTTTGGTTGAATGAGTCAATCATAACTGATGAATTAATGAATAAATTAAGCCTTTCCTGATTACAAACCAAATGAAAACTGGTCAGAATGGTCATGGGGTGCTCTGGAGTGGCTCAGTCAGATAAGCACCTGACTCTCTGATTTTGGCCTAGGGTCATGATCTCATGGTTCGGAACAGTCCTCGTCAGATTGGGCTCAAAACAGCACAGAACCCGCTTGGGATTCTT